AGAGAATTTAGGATACGATCAAACTTCCAGTATTGAGCAAACAAGCTTTCACTACTCCATACTACCTCAGGATAAATTAACAGATAATTTCGGAACGAAACAGCGTAAGACGTCTCTGTAATGCCTTCTGTGAGTCACCAGGAACATCAAAAACTCTCCGAGAGCCTCAAACCCAAACCTCGGTGCGAAAAGCGCTAGTAAAGCAAGGCAATAATGAAGAGTATTTCATTTGAAACTTCCGCTGATGGAGGTGGAAAAATATGATTTGGTTCGAATGATTTGCAACAATTCCGTATTGTTTCATCGTTCAATTGGGACGACATTGCCTTGAGTGGACGAATGTCTCCAAAAATTACTCAATCAGTTCTCTTGATTGAGAGTATTAACAAAACTACAACATCAGATCGGTAAACAAACCCTTGGTTCTGGGTGAAACGCCAAGTAGGGAAACAGCCGCTGCACCTGAACTTTCACCAATCAACGTCACCTGTGATGGATCGCCGTTCAGTTGTTTCATATTCGCTTGAATCCATTCGAGAGCCATCAACTGATCCCATATACCAAAGTTACCTTCCACCTTGTCGCCGACTTGCCAGTTCAAGAAACCTTTAATAACCAGTTATCAGTCGTTTTTGTTTTTCTTAGAAAGCATAGCCTGATAACCGAAACCCTTAGTGTTCCGAGTGAGAAATTTGCCCACACAGACTGTTCATGCATTTGTTCATGTATAATCCATAGTTCGAAGGCATCATTTTCAAATCACAATTGTTCTCATGCATCATAGTCAGCGTCAATGTATAATATGAACTGCTAGAGCTGCACACATTCAAACAGACCAGATGCTCTCTTAAACTCTTTATCATCACTGGATAATCCAGAAATCTCTACTAAATGTTACTGGCATAATTCATTCCATTCTTAAACAATTGATGTGGAGCGCAAAAATGTAGGCTATCGTACTATAGGCTTGTGTGTGCCATTATCGGGTCATTAAATGTGTTCAGATGAGATCAAATCACATGAGAAAATCTCTCATTTATATTACAGATTACGGCTATTTGTGAAACTCGAATGAGTGCCGCAAAATATGCGAACATTTTTTAGCTCTTTCGAAGATTACACCTAATCACACGCCTGAAACCAGGTCTAATTAGAGCCATTGAAGTTTGATTACATCCCTTTTGCATTGTTGCAGCCGTGAGACGTTTAATTATTCCTTGAATCAGCCCTTTTGCACTGTGTAGATTACCGAAATTCACTCATTTTTTATCACACATTACCATAAGCCTCCTCATTACGCGAGTGTCAGATTCAAGGAAGGAAGCAATCTTACGGTAAGAGAGGAAATGATTATGAGCACTGAAAAAGTGTCGATTCAAATCTGGTTTCTTTCACAAAAAAAACATGGACTATTTTATGGCGTAATTTAAATATGCTTGATGAAAATAAGCTTCAGCGGATAAAATTTACAGTTTTGAATGCTCCTTAATTTTGTTCCCTACAACAGTGAACGTGTCCGTTTATCGTTTCCGTTGGGATCGCATCGCATCGCAGAACTGGATCATATTCAATCAGTTCAGGAAAAAATTACAAACTCGATTTATTTGAGAAGCAAACCGAGTGGTCCAAGTCGATAGTTGAGCGTTACGAGCGCAACTCCATTGAAGATGAAGTTCTTGGCGACTACCTCCATATCAATTCCAGTATCGCCAGATCCAGCCAAAAAAGAACCACCATGAATCCACACCAACACCGGATAGAGTTTACCTTCGTCTTCAGGATCCTTGAAACACAACCACAAATAAATCATTGCATTTCGACAGCGATACAAATACCCAGTCAAAATCATCCAATTATAATGAATGACAACTAGTTGATGATAAGGAAATTGATAAGCAGAAATCATGCTCGCTCGCTTACAATCTATCCCATCGTCAGAAACAGTGATCTAAGAGTTACTGAATGATCTTCATTGGTTAAGGACCATATCAGTTCAGAAATAATTTAAACTGTGAGCACGCAATTCAAGTTATGAGAAAACTTTCAAAGTGAATTGTGCTCATCATTTAAAGCGCGATCCTATGAAAAAGAGGCCCCTCAGCACCGACAAGCGTCATTTGATATGACATCGTGAAACTGATTCAATATTTCGTGCAATATTTTCTACGGATACTTTGCATAAACAAGAAGGAGGAAAATTCTGAAACTGCACTTACGTATGGTGAGAAAACGTTGAGAAAAAGACAATCCTCATCCTGATTTTCCATGTTCTGTCCACTGAATTTATCGTAACGATGAAATTCCATGAACTGCAAACAAGGAGCGCCGTAATCCACGGCCAGATACTCTCTCTGCCATCGAGAACGTTTCACAGGCTTCTGCAATACTAACGAAATTGAATTCACATTTCAGATGTGCTTTCAAAACCTTCTTAACTGATGCGAGATTGGTGTGCGGAAATTTGAGGAGACTTTTCGCATTTTGAGTTTGCAGAAAGATGATCATTCGATGCGATCGATCCACGTGAATTGTATATAGCAACGACTAAATTAAATTTTATAATATCTATGATCTCTCGAAGAGCATTTTCCACGTATTGTACAATTTCGCTAATTGTCAAATCCACGACTCGATAATAGACGGCTAATTCTTTTCAATTTATTTCTTATCATTTCTTTTCTCAGAATCAGTAGTCTCTGCTGAACTCATCTCATTAGGCTTCATTCTTAAACTAGACGGCAATTCATCCACTCGTTCTTGATCTTCTTGAATTATAAGATGAATGGTATTAGTGAGAAAATTTTTCGATTTGAACATCAAAGAGCTGTTAGTATTATGTTCTCAACTGCTGAGATGCTTTAAGAACGAGTCGTAGACTCATTAAGCAGAATTAATATGTTCTTATGATTGAATAGCATACGATGCGATTTTGCTTCTCGGCAATAAAATTTTTCATTAAATTCCATCGTATTTGATTAATTGGAATCGCTTTGCCGATGAATAGACAATTCATAACTTCGATACATTTCTACATCTCCGGCTCAATAAAATCTTATCCTGTCCTAAGAGTGCATCATGATTCATCAAAACGAAAAGTATTTCTTAGTCGAATTACAAAATGCCACATGATTATAATTGGAGTCATGAAAGTTTCACATAATGCAGCAACAGTATCAGTACATTAGAACTCATTTACGGTGAATAAATGACCCTCCTCAATCTATCATCACTTATTTATGTTTCGACAAAAGACAACAAAGCATATTTTTCCAAAAAGCAATAAAACCATATTTATAACAATTCAAAAAGCTCAGAATTGAAACAATTCCCATGAGCCCATTCACCAAACAGTGCAAAATCAGTCACTCACCTGAAATCGCAATTTTCCAATCGGTGGCTCAGCATATGGAATACCGCGAAATATTTGCATGTAGTTGTCACCAATTTTATAGATTTTTCCACGGATCAAACCTTGCTCAACCCATACGGAACGCGATTTCTCCAAGTTCTGACCAGTAACCAACACTTTGGACGACGGCACAAGGAATGCTGTGAGGACACAAACGGTACAGATAATACTGAGAGAAGTTAGCGGTGTGGAAGATACCATAACAGAAGAGTCTGTCTCAATGAATTATTGTCTCTGATTAATCTTCGCTGGATTATAGTGTTCAGAGGGTCACAAAGGCGATCTGATGATGTGATTTGGATTGGATGAAATTGATTTTGTTCAGTTTAATGCGATGATGAGAATGAGGTTGTTGCGTATGAGAGGATATATACGTGTATCGGAGATTATCTCACAGAAGAAAGAGCTTTTGCATTGCTTTTGCTTACGGAGTCAGTTGATGCGAAAAGTTAGAGTTGTTGCATTACTGCTGCTGTGGCTGTTGCTGCTACTACTCGTCTATCGATAGAAACGGTGCCAACTGTCCGAAGCTGTTAATCTTATCTCTTTGATCATCCATCCATC